TTTACCTCCCGGTCATATCACAATCCTATGCTCAGAAGGGCAGACACCCTCGTAGTAACGCTACAACGCAACTGAGATAGAAAGGGTGCGCCTATTGAACACAGAATGTGCCGTGGCAGGGGGGTAAGCTCAATGGGCCCATCCCACACCAGGCTATCTGCGTCCTCCCGCGTTCAGTCTCGCTTCTACGCAAGAAGAAAGACTGAACCTGGGAGCGCGCGGACAGCCTGGTGCGGGAAAGGCCTTTTGAGTTTACCTCCCGGTCATACCACAATCCTATGCTCAGAAAGCACACATCCTCCAAGTAACGCTACAACGCAACTGACATCAAAAGGGTGCGCCTATTGAACATAGAACGTGGCGTGGCAGGGAGGTAAACCTCAAAGGTCCCATCCCACACCAGGCTATCTGCGTCCTCCCGGGTTCAGTCCCGCTTCTACGCAAGAAGAAAGACTCCACCTGGGAGCGCGCGGATAGCCTGGTGCGGGATAGGCCATTTGAATTTACCTCCCGGTCATACCACAATCCTAAACTCAGAAGGGCACACGTTCTCCTGGTAATGCTACAACGCAACTGACATGAATAAGGTCCGCCTATTGAACATAGCATGTGGCGTGCCAGGGGAGTAAGCTCAATGGGCCCATCCCACATCAGGCTATCTGCGGCCTCCCGGGTTCAGTCTCGCTTCTATGCAAGAAGAAAGACTCAACCAGGGAGCGCGCGGATTGCCTGGTGCGGGATAGGCCACTTGAGTTTTCCTCCCGGTCATATCACAATCCTATGCTCAGAAGGCACACGTTCTCCTAGTAATGCTACAACGCAACCGACATCAATAGGGTGCGCCTATTGACCACAGTATGTGGCGCGGCAGGGGGGTAAACCTCAATGGGCCCATCCCACACCAGGCTGTCTGCGTCCTCCCGGGTTCAGTCTCGCTTCTACGCAAGAAGAAAGACTCAACCAGGGAGCGCGCGGATAGCCTGGTGCGGGATAGGCCATTCGAGCTTACCTCCCGGTCATACCACAATCCTATGCTCAGAAAGCACACGTCCTCCTGATAATGCTACAACGCAACTGACATCAATAGGGTGCGCCTATTTAACACGGGATGTGGCGCGGCAGGGGGGTAAACCTCAAAGGTCCCATCCCACACCAGGCTGTCTGCGTCCTCCCGGGTTCAGTCTCGCTTCTACGCAAGAAGAAAGACTCAACCAGGGAGCGCGCGGATAGCCTGGTGCGGGATAGGCCATTCGAGCTTACCTCCCGGTCATACCACAATCCTATGCTCAGAAAGCACACGTCCTCCTGATAATGCTACAACGCAACTGACATGGATAGGGTGCGCCTATTGAACACAGAATGTGGCGTGGCAGGGGGGTAAACCTCAAAGGTCCCATCCCACACCAGGCTATCTGCGTCCTCCCGGGTTCAGTCTCGCTTCTACGCAAGAAGAAAGACTCCACCTGGGAGCGCGCGGATAGCCTGGTGCGGGATAGGCCATTTGAATTTACCTCCCGGTCATACCACAATCCTAAACTCAGAAGGGCACACGTTCTCCTGGTAATGCTACAACGCAACTGACATGAATAAGGTCCGCCTATTGAACATAGCATGTGGCGTGCCAGGGGAGTAAGCTCAATGGGCCCATCCCACATCAGGCTATCTGCGGCCTCCCGGGTTCAGTCTCGCTTCTATGCAAGAAGAAAGACTCAACCAGGGAGCGCGCGGATTGCCTGGTGCGGGATAGGCCACTTGAGTTTTCCTCCCGGTCATATCACAATCCTATGCTCAGAAGGCACACGTTCTCCTAGTAATGCTACAACGCAACCGACATCAATAGGGTGCGCCTATTGACCACAGTATGTGGCGCGGCAGGGGGGTAAACCTCAATGGGCCCATCCCACACCAGGCTGTCTGCGTCCTCCCGGGTTCAGTCTCGCTTCTACGCAAGAAGAAAGACTCCACCAGGGAGCTTGCGGATAGCCTGGTGCGGGAGAGGCCATTTGAGTTTACCTCCCGGTCATACCACAATCCTATGCTCAGAAAGCACACGTTCTCCTAGTAATGCTACAACGCAACCGACATCAATAGGGTGCGCCTATTGATCACAGTATGTGGCGCGGCAGGGGGGTCAACCCCAAAGGTCCCATCCAACACCAGGCTGTCTGCGTCCTCCCGGGTTCAGTCTCGCTTCTACGCAAGAAGAAAGACTCAACTTGGGAGCGCGCGGATAGCCTGGTGCGGGATAGGCCATTTGAGTTTACCTCCCGGTCATACCACAATCCTATGCTCAGAAAGCACACGTTCTCCTAGTAATGCTACAACGCAACCGACATCAATAGGGTGCGCCTATTGATCACAGTATGTGGCGCGGCAGGGGGGTCAACCCCAAAGGTCCCATCCAACACCAGGCTGTCTGCGTCCTCCCGGGTTCAGTCTCGCTTCTACGCAAGAAGAAAGACTCAACTTGAGAGCGCGCGGATAGCCTGGTGCGGGATAGGCCATTTGAGTTTACCTCCCGGTCATACCACAATCCTATGCTCAGAAAGCACACGTCCTCCTGATAATGCTACAACGCAACTGACATCAATAGGGTGCGCCTATTGAACACAGCATGTGACGGGGCAGGGGGGTAAACCTCAAAGGCCCCATCCCACATCAGGCTATCTGCGTCCTCCCGGGTGGAGTCTCGCTTCTATGCAAGAAGAAAGACTCAACCAGGGAGAGCGCGCATCGCCTGGTGCGGGATAGGCCACTTGAGTTTACCTCCCGGTCATACCACAATCCTGTGCTCAGAAAGCACACGTCCTCCTGATAATGCTACAACGCAACTGACATCAATAGGGTGCGCCTATTTAACACGGGATGTGGCGCGGCAGGGGGGTAAACCTCAAAGGTCCCATCCCACACCAGGCTATCTGCGTTCTCCCGGGTTCAGCCTCGCTTCTACGCAAATAAAAAGACTCCACCTGGGAGCTTGCGGATAGCCTGGTGCGGGATAGGCCAGTCGAGCATACATACCTACCTGCCACACAACAATCCTGCATGCTCAAAAGAACGCGCATGTTCGCTACAACACTAATCTTGTGCAACCAGTGTGGAGTGAAGGCCAAGTTGATAAATCGACTGCAGTATCTACTTTGCCTCGGTCTTTGAGAAAAGTAGTGGGCTTGCTACCACGGAAGGCGTCCGGGCCAGTTGGACGTTGGAGCAGGATGGACATCAGAAGGTACTGAGCGGCGACCGTAACCGTTTTTTTATTCGAGCGAAGCGAGATTTCTAATCTTGCCTGAGAGGGCTCAGCGCAATATAGGGGCCGATGCAGGAAAAAAAGTGCGTGCGTGTGTTGTGTTCGCTTAAACTAGGTTTTAGAGTACAGGACTTGATTTGTGACTACAGGGCGCACTTTTTTTTTTTACACAGCAGAGCAGCAAACAGCAACAGCAGACAACACGCGCTCAGCGAGCAGACTGAACACACACGCACAGCAGACAACACGCGCTCAGCGGGCACAGCGACACACCAACAGCGCAGAGCGGACACAGCCACAGCGGCCTGCATGGCATGGCAATTGCATGATGAGTAGACGTCCGTTGGGGCCGATTGACCCGAACTCCCTCCGTGAGGCAGAGACGCACACAGACTCGCGGCGCAGACAAAGCCACGGGGAGAGGGAGCCCCTAGGCAGCCCACAGCTTGACCGGGCGAGAGCTGCTGCTCGTCAGAGGACTGCCGCCAGGCGTGCGGCGGAGACCGATGGAGCACGGGCAGAAAGGTGCGTTGCGTGTGCGTGCGTCTGGGCGGCGATTGCCGGAGAGGGGAAATCGAGTTCAAATACACCAACTGCCTTTTCTTCTTCCGCGCACACAGCACTACTACTGCAGACTACTACTGCTTTCTTCTTCCGCGCACACAGCACGACTACTGCCCACACACAACACATCGTACACTTCGTACGCACGGCACACACACACAGGCTGCGGGCGGGCCGGCAGAGAGCCGCCGCTACAGCCGCCGCTAGGCGACTGCGAGGGCAGACACCACAACAGCGGGCGGTCAACCGAGAGAGAGAGGCTGCGAGGCGCCAGCGGCAAACACCACAGCAGCTGGCGGATAACCGAGAGAGAGAGGCTGCGAGGCGCCAGCAGCAGACACCACAAGCGACAGAGGCCAGGTGTGGTGTGCATTGGTGTGGTGTGCATTGCATGCATAAAAGGTTGTTGGTACCCAGCATTTTTGGAATTTGCAAAATACTTTTCGCCGCATGTCAACTTCGCATGGTCCACACGCACGCATCACGCTGCCTTTCTTTGCAGATCACGCATCACGCTGCTGCCTTCTTTGCAGATTACACGTTGAGACTAACCTCACGGGCCCCACTTCGCAGGCGTGCAGCGGGTAGAGAACGGGCAGCAGCGGCCAGAGCCGCGGCCAGAGATGCCGAGAGGGCCAGGCGAGAGAGGGAGGCTAATGTGAAGCGGAGAGATCTTGCGGAGTTTCACGCTGCTAGGCCGCTGGAAAAGTTGGGTTGGGCCAGATTAGAGATGCAAACGAATTTCCAGCAGCCCATGACCGCCCGGAGGATGCACGTGTGCACAGTGTGCTCTGAACGTTGGGACACCGCAGAGGACGGACCAGGGGACGGACCAGGGGACGGAGGTGCCGTCTACAGGTGGGTGGTCTTTCGTGTTCAAACGCGTCGACATGAACGTGTCGGCTTGGTGCATCACGTTGCATCATGTTGCAATGTTGCAAAAAAGAAAAGGACCAGAAAAATACACTGATGTATGGAGGATACCATATGCCTGGGAAAAGAAAAATGGAAAAAAGGAAAGTGGATAGAAAAATGCATGAGCAGGGATCGAACTTTGGTCGGGATATTCATAATTTGCATACCTACCGCATATGCCAGGTGCTCTCCACTGATGTTGGCAACAACCCTCACGTTACCCCNATTCATAATTTGCATACCTACCGCATATGCCAGGTGCTCTCCACTGATGTGGGCAACGGGCCTCACGTTACCCTTCTATACCCCACCACCTGCCGCCCCCACACCCGCTGGTTCGTACAGTTGTCCGCGGTGCAAGAAGGACAAGAAGAGTCCGAAGCTGTTCTCCGCCGACAACACCATGGATCCTGGGAGCGTACCCGTCGAGCTCCAGGGCCTGACCCAGACGGAGGAGATGCTCATCGCGCGGTGCTGTCCGATCATGCGCGTCCTCCACCTCAAGGGTGGGCAGCTAGGGTACGGTGGCCATGTCGTCAACGTCGCTCAGGACATCAGTACCTTAGCCGCTGCCCTCCCCAGGTTGGCCGCCGATGTACCGATCATCATCATCCGGAGGGAGGGGCAGGAACCCGGCCAGCACAAGGACCTACACGTGCGGAGGGCTCGCGTGCAACGGGCTTTGCAATGGCTCATTGCCAACAACCCGTACTACCGCGACATCGTCCTTGACAACACGGCCATATCCCAGCTCCCCGTCGACGGGCAACTACGTGGACTGCGAACCACCGTCAGCGGGGGAGACTCGGAGCGTGACCTTGGCCCTCGGGGGGAGGGGGGAGGGGAGGAGGACGGCGATACCCCCGAGGACACGGAGTCCTTTATGGCTCCGGCAGGCAAGAGCATGCTCGAGGACCGCGCGATTGAAGCAGCCCTGCGGAGGCAGGTGAGGGAGAGCGGGGCGGATGTTCCGGTCAACGCCTGGCCTGGGATGGAGGCGACCGCCCTGAACGAGTTCAAGACAACAGGCCTCGCGTCCATGGCCTTCCCCGCCCTCTTCC